AAAAAGATGAAATCTCTACTTTTATTTACTGTCTACTCAAGGCAGAATAGTGATAAGTACTTATGCTATCATCACAATTTGACGAGAAATATTCCTGCAACATGCTTGAAAACAGCGAAAAGCTGTTTGGAAAAGGTGGCTTCGAAATCTGTATGATATAGGAACACTGAACAAAGACTTTCTTGAAATATTTCGCTGAGCATGATTTCGCATGCGATACGAGGTTGGTATCGATGCCTTTACGATCGAAAAGAGATACTAGGTTGTCGGAAAAGTCAGCGCATTTCCTTCTTCATCTTGCAACTCTTTTGGGATCGTTTTGAAACATTCACTGTATGCGAGCGGTGGTCAATGCTCTCTCCACAGCATTTCTGTCGTAGCATTTCGCAGCGTTTGAAGCGAAAAAATCGTCTTTCACTTAAGATATGTTGGACTGCTCCTGCTTTTACAGACAGAGAGCGTCGATGGAAGCGACGCAGCAAGAGGCCTGCACGTTGCGGTTATCCCAGCCTATCTCTCACAAAAGGCATTTGGTTACCGATGACCAGATAACTGAGAAAAAACCACGAATCTGGTGGGCCTGTTACACTAAACAGAGAGTGTGTTCTGAAGTCGATTGGAAAGACTTCCCGGTACAATGCACGGAAGGCGGCAGAGCTTTTTTAGTGTTATCAGAGCACAATAGACGCTGCCCAATATCGCCTCGGAAAAGTGAAATTATGGCGTAAGGATATTTCGTGATCTGATTACTAGTAACAAAAAAGTAATGCCTTCAGAAAACCACACGCGAAAGTGCTCTGGTGCGCAGAACAAAGGATTGCAACGCCGATTCCAGATTTGCAACCTGGGAGGCAACTTAAAGCTCATGAGGCTGCAAATGTTTCGCTCACGGAGAGCTGCTGCCAACGAAGTCCACTGCTATTGGTGAACAATAATGTTGGCAAGTGGATTCGGTTCCCGGCATGGTGCTCGGAAAATCTGGCAAAGTTTACTTTATCTCGGCAACGCTCACCCACGATTTACGAAGAAGGTTCAGCAAGTCTTCATGTTTCTTATGGGATAATCTGACAAGCCTGGTGTTTTTCACAATCCTGGCACAACAGACTACCATAAGTATATGTTGCTGAATCGAATCATCCGGGAGAGGGGTAGCCCGATGATTCAAATCTACTCGGAAAGACTTCTTCGAAGTCTTCGTCTCGAAAGCTGAGGATTTCTGAGCGATCGGCAACCGGAGGTTACATGCTGAAGAGTGCAGTTCCGACGACAATAATTGTGCATGTATTATTGCGTATGTTAGCTGTACTACAGGCGAAAAAAAAAAAAAAATTGAAAAAAGATTTGACAAATGTGCCTGGGCTTTTTGACAACCTAACATTTTTCATAGAGCTATTGTTAATGACAAAAAAATCAAAAAAAAAACCTCGAGGATAACATAACATTCAAAGCTACATAAAACCTTTGTAACCGTCGTGTTCACGAATTACTCACCCTCGACAACATCACCACCACGAATTTATTGGGATCGATATCAACTTGCTCTATCGTGGTTGCATCATCAAGAATCTGTAAGATACCAATGCTACTTATTTATTGCGATAAGCATGACGGGTAAATACCGACCTTCCCGTTGTAAATCAATTTTTGAAGCTCCACCGCATAGTCTTCACCTTTTTCCTCTGCAATTTTCTTCTTCACATCGGCCATCTGGAAACAGTTTTTATAGCACAAGCATCACTACTATAACTCACCCCCACTTTTTTATACATAAAAAAGTGCTAAGCACAATAGAAAACTGAGAGCGAGATGGAGACTTTCTATTGTATTTTGAATTACTCATATGTCAAACATATGTTGAACGCGCATGAACGTAAGGTCCTCTGTAAAAAGCAAAAGGGTTTGAAAGGAAATATATATCCGTGAAACGACGCAATGAGTAGTAATATTCGACGTTTCTGCGCTCGAAAAACGAGCAGTGCATAGCGTCAAACATCAGCAAAGACAAATATTAAAAGCATACTGCAGAATTTTCAAAAAAGACTAAATTTGTGCTCATCATGTGCTCATTGGCCGATGTCAGACTTTGCGATTGGAGCGATTTTGCACCAATTGCAGGAGCGACGGATCGCTTGAGCGATGCGAGCGACGGGAGATTTACACCGCCGAATACCGATACACACGCCGCTCGGTAAATCTCCCGTCGCTCGCATCGCTTGAGCGATCCGTCGTGGTTGGTGCAAAATCGCTCCAATCGCAAAGTCTGACATCGGCCATTGGAGTCAAACTAAAGCGCAAGTCTGTGAAGCTAAAGTAGGAAACACAGGTAATAAAAAGGAAATAAAGACACACATACCGTTAAAGTTGGTTCGAGATCCATGGTGAAAGACAACTGCGTTATCGTTCGAAAAGTAATTACCGGCATAGTGCTGCAAATGAAAATTGCAATGGATCTGAGAAAAAATACAGTACCTTCAGAACGAAGCAATAAACGAAATCTCGGCCTGCGACGAAAAAAAATAACGAAATTGAACAATTCGCACGCAGGAACAAGGTAGAGATGTTGAGATTGTATCGAAGCTAAAATCGATTTGAGAATGTGCTACCACCAACAGCTGGGAGTTAAGCAGAAGATGGGATCTGCAACCAGTAAACAAGAAGCTATCCATGTTTCCTGCGCCCGCCTCTAATGGAATGTAATACTAGAGTGAAGAACGATCCCACACGAATCAGTAATCCAGAGGGTGAAATTGATGCTGTCAAAAGACTTCGACAGTTGATTTGCGCGGAGATGGCTTCGAGGCTCAGTCACGAAATTCCACAGCAATTGATAACCTGACAACTCTGGAACATTATACGCATAACAAAATTAACGCAATGACAACCACTTTCTTGATTTCTTTCGAAAAAGACACTGCTAGACGAAGACCCCTCTGATTGCACTTGCTTTTGAACGTTTCGTTTCTCTCAGAGACCAAGGATTTCACCTATGATGAGCACTACCTTACGTTCTGCATAAAACTAGCGAAAGGGGTAATTTCAGTGGGAATCCATCGAATTCCAAGAGAATCTCCTGAGTTTGGAATGGGTGCTGTCTATGCTATAAAATAACTGTGCACACAACAACACCAAGGGCAATCCGCACCGTCTTCATTGCTTCATTGATGTACTATCAGATCTATGGTGTAAACCTGACAAATCACCTTTTGAAACGCACATGAACATGAAGGGCAAACCCAACGATACCTCTACAACCAACAGCTCCGATGAAATTGGCTAAGCAAAATACTAGAACATGGAAACCTACTAGACGTTACTTCGATTTTTCTCAATAAGCAAATGAAAACACAACATCGGGTAACAAGGTTCAACAGATTTACCACAAATAATCGAACTCTTCACAGCTTGGAAAAATACGACATTAAAGGTAACGTCATCACAGCAGTTGGTTCCGCAACGATGAGCTTGTTGCCGATGGTCAGCGACGGTGTGCTGGTTGTTTGAATGTGCGTTTTGGCGCGAACATTTATTTAACACGAAATGGATCTATGATTTTTGTTAGTCCTCGTTCTTTGAAGTGCATTTTGGGCTCATTTGATGGATTGTAGTGGTTCGAACGTAATTCATTTGTTTCAGAGTTCCTTCATATTCCAAATAATCCTTGAAGGGCTGTAGTGCGATCTGTGAGGAAGTTCCTACATGTTTTATAAATAAGACAATATGGTTATAAAAACTGCGAAGGAATCAGGTTGACCAATGTTTTTTTTTCAGATTGCGTAGACCTTTCGTATTAGGAGGGATCTTGATTATTCGTCTCACTAGTCGTATGTCTGAGGATACTACACCTGTTAGTCGCAGTAGTGCTAAAAGTTCTGAGAGGACGCCAATAAGGCACAATAGCCTCAAAGATGCTGGCACACCATATCGCGGAAGATATAAAGCAACCACACTGGTGCGTTTAGTTATATACCTGTCTTTCTATCGTTTCGTCATTTTCCTTTGATTTCACGAGTAAACCTTTTGATGGTTTAGTGGAACAACATCATTCGCCATTTTCGCGATGAGATGCCTATCAAGCGGCATCGACGGCAGCTTACTTATTTCGAGGACACCTTCACTGGGAAGGAGGCAGTGGACTTTCTATTGATTCTGCTACCCAGATTGATTCGAAGGTCGTCAAGTTGAGAGGTGCTTACAGCTTTTTTTGGTTGCCCATTTTTTTGAGTGTTACCCCTGGAGACGGGTGCAGCAAGCCCCTGCCGGGGACGGGTCCCCTCACCCGCATAGGGATCGGTCTCCATGTTGGGATACGTGCCACGCTCAGAACATATCCCCAACTTAGGGGACATATCCGGGAGACGGATGACTGGATGGAACCCGATTCTTGAGGCGTGTCCCATCCTCGAGCATCGGATTGAGGCGGCTTAAAGGATCGTGTTCAAGTAGTCCGTCGACCGGGAGGTATGGGAGGATTGAGGCGGTTTAAAGGCATGGAATATATAAACACGTAGAAAACGGCTGAGAATGGCGCTACGTGAAGTCGTAGACATCGCCTTAGATCAATGTAGGTACAAAATTGGTCGAGGATTCACATGTCCCTGCATAGAGTGTAAAAATACTTAATAGTTACCGGAGACGATCGCCGCGTCTCTACGTGGAAAACCAGTTTGTCATCAGACGTCCTTCTTCCCTGTAGTATGCCTTCATTTCCAATTTCCAGGTTAAACTTGAAACCATTAGGGCTTGCTCATTCTGGTGCTGAATTTGAGGAAGAATCTGTGAGAAGTTTGAATACGCATTGATTAACCGCATTCGACCTCTCAGTAGCATCAGTGGAAAGGATTGGCGGTTATCCGTGTGCATAAACCTTCCCCTTCCCTGCTTTTGTGCGTAGGGACAGGAAACAAGAAAGAAAAGTGAGTTGGTATAGGTGGGAGGTCGACAAATAGTGGTTTCAGTGGAAATCAAGATTGTCTTCAAATATTTTCTTTAATACTATATGGCTCCTCCAACCTTATTCGCTTGTAGAGTCATGATGAACTTGAATCATGAGTTCTCTCGAGAATACGCAGGACTTGATGCAACTCAGATCACCCTTTTGGAAGCTGCAGAAATCACCGATTCAATTGCTCTCTGTCCACTAGTTTTGACATGGGATTGCATACCCTTCATCAACCTCTCATCTCGGGCGTGTCGTGCTAACCTCTGCACTGCTAGTGTCTCTGTCCATTATTTATTGCCCTGTGAGGGTTCTGAAACAGTATTTGTCGTCTAGGGCAAGACAATACTACGATCACTCGGGATCACTTTCTTTCCCTCCTTCCCTCATTTTTCGCTTCAACTCGAACTTCCTATGGCACTATCCACCACCGTAAGCGGGCGTCAGTTCCAATAGTTCAAAAATATTATTCTGATCGCTTTCCACCTCTCAGGCAGTGCCCCCTTCACTTCATGTTCTTTCTTCCTAGATCAGCGAGTGCTGTGATATATGGGTTTTACGAATCATTTGAATGGTTGCTTTTCCAGGTCAAATTGTGTAACGTTGCTCCAAAAATTTTTGGATCAAGGATTCATCGAAAGAGTTCGTCCGAATCCCGGTGAAAAGGCTATCTTCAAGGATAACGCAGCACTTTATGTGTGAGTGTTTTTCAAAATAGGTGACAGCCACTAGGGCGAAGTCAGCTATTGAAGAAGTTGGCCTGTAAGTTGGTTGTTTTGCTCTAGTCCGCAGGATTTTTATTCACTGTTATGATCTTGGTTACGTCCCGGAGCTTGATGCCTTAATCAAGTGTGTCTTGTATTGACTGTCGTGTCCCCGCGATTGCAATCGACTTAAGTACAGTATATTCTGAAAAATTTCTTCTTCAAATTTAGTTTTGTTGACGATTGTGATGTATTTGGAATGTCCAAGACTCCTCGTTTGGTGAGAAGCAACTCGTGTACCGAACGATCTGGCAGGACAGGAGGACGTCTCTGCAAAGTAAGCTTGCTTGTTACGTTATAGTAAAGTCACTTCCGGACAGCAGATGTCTTCCAACCATTTACCTCAACCATGTCAGGTTAACATCAGTTCAACCGTTCAAGTCTCCAGATTCCTTCAACTATCTGAGAATTCCAACACCAGTAGCTAATAAAGGATTCAATAGACGAATGTCTAGTTCGCATGGCAATTTGTTGGCGCTGTTACCACAAAAAACCGTACGCCTTCTACTATTAAACAAC